TCTCTCTCTCTCTCTCTCTCTCTCCCCTGTCTCTCAGTGTATGCCTGCACACTTATCATTTACTCCCTTGCAGTTTTTTTTTTTTTACATCATATTAACGTTATAAGATGTTTACCTGGCTAAGACGGCCACTTTTCTCCTAAAAAATGGGTGACCGTCTCAGACAATTTCAACTGCAGTTGTGGCACAACGCAGTTTTGGGGCATGTATGTAGTAGTAAAGTTATTGGTATAAGCTTAAAGCCAGCTCATTTGCCTTGCTTTTGGTGAAACAAATAATACTTGCTATCTTATTGAAGTCAAGATATTTGAAGGAGGTGGTGTGTGTGTGTGTGTGTGTGTGTGTGTGTGTGTGTGTGTGTGTGTGTGTGTGTGTGTGTGGAGGGGGGAAGCTGCTGTCAAAGGTAAAATTGGCGCATACATGGCAGGCAAAGTTGGGTGTCTTCCAAAGCTGTAGTACCTTTAGAAACTGCAAATGTATTTTTTTTTGTGTGCCTTTGATAACATTTTAAAGTAAAATCCACACTGGGATGTTTTTTAAATGGAGGTATAATGAGTTGAGCCCAAAACAGAAAGTTGGATAAAGTGTGCAGGAAAATGTTGGGTCCTTCGATAATCATTTTGACGAGCGCCTGATTTCACCACGCACAATGCCACACGTTCATATGGGTATAGTTTGCGCACACAATTTGTGTAACACAGACACGTGGATGATGCAAAGCTTGGGCTTAGGCCAAATTTCCTCTGTCCCCCTCTAGACAACAAGATGCGTGGACGCAAGAACCCGATGCCAAACAACCAGTCAGCCTCTTACCTCCCCCCGTGTAAAGTATGTGGAGCCCCGGGCACAGGATTCCACTATGGGGTCACTACGTGTGGGGCCTGCAAGGTGGGTCTGTTGTTTATGTTGTTGTTGGTGGTGGGGGTGGTATGTTGCTGTTGTTGTTGTTGTTGGTGGTGGTGGTGGTGGCGGTGATGATGGTGGTAGTTGGTTTGTTGTTGGTAGTAGTGGTGGTGGTATTGTTGTTGGTTGTGGTGGTTGCAGTTATGTTGTGTTGTTGTAGTGATGGTATTTTTTGTTGATGGTGGGGATGGTGTTATAACTGTTGTTGGGTGTGATGGTGATGTCAGTGATATTGCTGTTGTTGTGATGATGGGACTGGTAGTGGTATTGTTGGTGGTAGTATCGCTTTTGTTTTGTCAACGCCATGACATTTTAGGTGTATGAGAAGTGGTGTCTTTTGTTGTTGATGGAAGTGTTGTGCTGTTGATTTTGTTGGTGTTTAGTCATCACAACATTTTGGGCCTGCAGTGACAATAGCTTACACTGATGGGTTGGTTCTTGTCTTTATGTTTGGCAGGATGAGGGATTTAAAATTTTTTTTTTAAATTTGTACATTATATCAGAGTGAGAATAATATATCAAAGTGGTGATTGCTAAAATGTTTTTTCTACTTCATCAGGGTTTTTTCAGGCGTAGTCTGTTGCGTAAAGAGCCCTATGTGTGTGTGGAGTCTGGAAATTGTCCTATTGGCCCTGACTCTGACCGGAGGAAATGCTGTCCAAAATGCCGTCATGACAAATGTTTATCCGTGGGCATGAGCAAAGATGGTGAGTCTGAGTGACTGGTTTACTAAGTCTTACACTAGGCTGCTGATGTGCAGTGTACAATTGTTATATTTTGACAGTGTTATGTTTGATTTTGGAACTGGAAGAAATGGGTCACTTTTTTGTGCCCCGTGACAACCAGCATAGGTGCCCTGCTATTTGAAGGAGGCAGCGTGGTGAAATCAGGCGCTTGTCAAAATAATGAAAGTCAAGAAATTGGCATTTTCCCGCAGGTTTGAGAATTTTTTATCAGGTTTCATGCCCATTAAAGAGCACATTTCTGTGTGGATTTTACTGAAAAATGTTGATTAAAGGCAAAAGAAATGTACATTTTCAGTTTCTCACAGACTCTCAAGCTAAAGAAATATCTCAACTTTGGCGGCCATTTTCTCGCTTATTTTATTTCTGAATCCATATGACCCTCACCTCCTTCAATCACACATATCTCGACTTTTATTCAACATAGATGGATATTATTTTCACTCAAAACAAGGAAAATGGACAGATCTGAAGCTGATACTATCAACTCTGTATGCCCAAAAATTGACAAGAGCCTGATTCCACCGCATTGTGCCTCATATATTGTTATGAATGTATGTTGTCATATAATCTGCTCATTTATATTCACTGGAAACTATACAAACAAAATCTGCAGACCAGCATAAATGTTCTATAAATTGTAATATAATGAATGAAACTGCATGTGTGAACCCGTACATTCAAACATATATATACACATGGACATGCTTTCATGCAGGTCCTTACTTTACCCTCACTCCCACACACACATTGACACAATTTACAAGTACACCTTCATTTTTGTACATAGACATGCACGCACCTGCACACCCTCACACAACTGCCCATCAGAAAAACTGCGCACTTGCAAACCCTCTCACACACACACACACCCACACACACACACACACACACACACACACACACACACACACACACACACACTCACACAAACACACACTGCATGTATGTAAACATGACAAAAATATCTTCGTTTACCTATGCACTACATGCTCGCACATACACACGCAATAAGCACTCCCAACTGCCTCTTTAACAGATCCTACTTATACACATGACGAGAAGTGCATGTGTGCGAGCATGCACATGGGCTCTCTCTCTCTCTATCTCTGTCTCTCTCTCTCACTATCTTTCTCTCTCCTTGTGTCTCTATCTCTCTCTCTCTTTCTCTCTCTCTCTCCCCGTGTCACTGTCTCTCTATCTTTCTCTCTGTCTCCGCCACTCCCTTTCTCTATCTCTGTCTGTCTGTCCCTCTCTCTCTCCCTCTCTCTCTCTCTCTCTCTCTCTCTCTCTCTCTCTCTCTCTCTCTCTCTCTCTCTCCCTCATACATACCCGCTCGCTCACACACACAGGTGTGCGTACGCTACATACCTGCATACTCACTGACTGATCCTGCCTGATGCGTGCAAGATGTCTTCATTGACATTTAATTTATTATCATCGAGTTTCAAAGTCTTCAGCTTTATACTTTGCTTTCTATCATTTTCTCCTTTTTTTTTTTTACTATTAATTTGCTCAAAATATGTCTAGTAGAACTGCCAAAGAACCCTCAAAGTTTTACATCTTTTGTTTCTTGAGGCTGAACTATGATGTTTTTACTTAGCAGTACCAAGCATTTTATTGCTTCATGTAATATTTGTCGATGCTTGTGTTTTCATTATGCTTTTGAATGGCAGTCCAGAGACTGGCAGTATTGTAGGGCCTGCTGTAGAGCTGCCTTTCAGTGAAGGGGCCAAATTTCCCAGAAGTATTGTGTTCACTAGTGTGACGGCACATTTCTGTTTCAGTTTTCTGTCATGCAGTTCCCCCCACCATCTTTATGTGAGTGGTTGGAGGGTGCCATCTGTAGGTCTTCTTCTTTATCCCTCTATTTCGTCCATCTGTCTGTCTTGCTGTTTTCCAGCAGTGGATGACCAGTATTGTGTTGATGTGTCTCAAAAATGAATGTTCCCTTCTTGACCAGTATTAGTGACCGTTCTTTTTCTATATTACTCATGTTAACATTTAACAACTATTGTGCCAACAGTTATCAAAATGACTGTTATTGTGTCACTTTGAACTAAAAAACAAATATACCCTTTTGACCAGTATAAGGACATGCTTTTTCTCCACAAGTCTATCTGACATTTATTTTGCCCACATTTATCTAAATAAGAAGTTATTTGTTTTATTCATTTGACATTTATTGTATTCTCAGCTATCAAAACGGAGCATTATACATCATTATCTTTGTGATATTTATGTACCCACAGCTGTCAAAACAAGAGTATTATATTCATTTGACATTTTTTTGCCCACAGCTATCAAAACAGGACGTTATTCATACGAGAAGAAATCAAAGGACGTTTTGGAAGTCATGGAACTGCGAGAAAAACTGGCGCGCTCTCCGCTATCGACTACTCAGATACCAGGCATCCACTCAGAATGTGTGTCCGGGGAACTGAGAGAAGTTAACGGTTATGCAAATGGCAGAAAGTCAGAGGGGTTGTTGGGTTCTTCTCATCAGAGTCAAGCTACGGGCCTAACTACGATGGCAGGGATGGAAGATGATGCTTTTGTTAGTCAGCAAGAGAGAACATTCCAGAACAGACAGAGCCTAACAGTGTCATCAGATTTGAACGCTCAGGATGTTGGTAATAGTTTTGCAATGACAGGGAAAAGGTCAGTGCCACAGTCACGAGTAGTAGAACTTGATGATCTTCCTCCACCTTGTATGTCTTACACCTTTGTAAACAAAGACTTGAAGCGTGCACTGAAAAGAAAGCTGAATGGAAAGAAAACTGAAAACGACAATATTCAGAAGGCAGAGACATCAGATTCCTCTCAAAGTTCAATGACGACGTCAGTGGAGGGGACAGAGTCGTGTTCACCTGGGGCACCACCGACGCCAGACCTAGGAAGTACATGGCCTGTTGATGCCCCTGCTGAAGGGGAGCCTTTGCCTGACCTTTTTGAGACAATAGCAACGCAGCTTTGTCCTTCTCATCCAGCTCCCATTTCCCTTGGGCCTGGAATAGAAGCAGAGTCATTTTCGTCATCGTCTGGACAGTGTTGTTCAAATAAATCTACTAGAACCCCATTCACAATTTCTTCTTCTCTTCCTCTTCATCCTCCTGCTCCTCCTCCTCCACAGCTTACCTCTGACTTCTCTGCTTCTTTCACACATCCTGCCCCATGTTACAACAATCTACCGCTGACACCAGCTCATCTTCTGGACCTGGATCTGTCTCTGCCCCCTGTCCCCGAGACGGAAGAGATGCCAAGTTTTGAGGGAATCAAAAACCAGGCCTGCTGCTTAAGTTCGGACTTGTTCATTCCAGATGGCTACGAATTTCCACCTCTATCTGCTGGAATCCATCAATCAGAATACCGGTCAGTTATGTCCCCTACATTTTGCACTTTGGCTGACGAGGTGGAGGAGAATATCTGTGACCTTGATTGTGACTTTCCGGAACCGACTGGCGGGAATACCGATGCCAGTGCTCAAACAGAAAATGTACAAAATGTGGACAGCGAATCCTCAAAAACTGAGCTGCCTATTGGGAGTTTGGAGTGGAGACGCGCGGAGGCTATCCGCCAGATTGACAACAGTTATGATGAGGTGATTAGTCTTGCAGAAGATCTGTCAAAATGCCAGTTTTATTCCTATGAGATGACACTCCTGGGCCCAATTTTTAACAAGCTTTGCATCTCTGGCCCTCAGAAAAAGGCAGTTAGTGGTAGTAGCACCGACCAGCAGAGTGATGTTGCAAAACAAGCATCCATGCAACATGATTCACAATCTCATACAATCAGTCAGAACATACCCATGCAATCTAATTCTCCGTGCCACACAAACGGTCACCAAGCACACATGCAATCTAATTCTCAGTACCATACAATGAGTCAGCAAACACCCCCTTTACCAGATTCTCAATATCAATCCAACCAAACATTTGCCCCCAGTGGTATTTCATATCCCACCCCTTTACCGTCTGCAACGCCATTGTCCACCACACACAGCACTGGGTTCTCGCCCCATCCCAACCATCATCGACTTTCTGGGTCACCCTCCTCATCCCGGTCACCTCCGCAATCGAAGCCAGCGAGATCAGAGCAGAGATTTTGCGAGGCTGATTACAACAAACCGTTGCCATGGTGTGAGTTTTCCGAAGGTCATCTTGATGATGTGGCCTCTATGCTTATGGAGGCCCATGAGAAGCACATTGGCAAGGACATGAACTCTGTGAGCCGGGAGGAGATAGCAGAAAAGTCAGAGATCTATTTGGTGAGTGCCATTGTGATTGGTTGTAAATGATTAATAATTGATGTTTTACATCAATGTTGATACAATTTAGATCTTGTTGGAACCTTGCTGTTTCAGCCATGCTGCGGGGTTTTTTAATGATATGATTAAGGCTCATTAAAGCCTCATCCGCTTCGGTAGTTTATCTCCCGCTTTGTACGCAGCACAAGGCTGAAAAGTCACGAACAGATATTACACTTTGATCTTAGCTAAAAGGCTGAACCATGCTGTTGTTGTAAGATCCTGCTTAGGCTTTGCAGATCCCAGCAAAAAGATGGAGATACTCAAAAAATATAAACTTGTCTCTCATTGGAATTGAACTCATGCCTTCTGTCTGCAAGGCAACAAGCCTTTCCATAGCACCACAAAGTTTACATGAGCTGAAGGACAGCCCGAGATGTGTTTGCTAATTAAAAGACATGATAGAGAATGGGTACAGAAGGAAACAAAGGGAGTCTTCCAATAATAGTGGTGAAAACGGACTTCCACTAGTTGTCCTTCTGAAATTCTTCTTCTTTCCTCCTCTTCCTGCTCCTCCACCTCCTCATCAACCTCTCCATTTCCTCTTCTTCCTCCACCACCTTGGAGATAGTTGACTGTTGGCTCTTTAGTCCATTTTTTGTTACAGAACTTTCTGCCTCTGTAATGTTCCTTCTTTTTGCAACAGAAGGACAGTTCTCCATATACCCCATGGCTTTCTGGCAGTAGTAACTTGTTTGCAAAACTAGTCGTACATAATTATTTGGACAAAAGTAACTGGGCATTCTTCCCTTTTTGGTTAGAAAAGATGAAGAATTTTTCCAGACAGCTGGTTATGAAATATCAAGTCTTATTCCATGACTTTCAACTATTTTTGGCGGGGGGGGGGGGGGGGGGGGGGGAGCTGAGGGAGTGGGGGGTAGAAGTTGTGTCATGGGTGCCTCATAGCATAGACTTTGTCATCATCATCATAATAAAATATTTTGGAAAAAAGTTGTGAATTTTCCAAACTTTAAATGAGATTACTGATGACACTCAGTGAATTATGAAATCTGTCAAACAGACAAATGAAATACAGCAAAATGGAATAAGTCCTTTAATGTACTTGACCTACAGCTAAAGTCTTTTTGTCCGGGGATTCCACAGAAACTTTGTCGTCTCAAGGAGCGTGTCTTTGGCAGGAAAACTTTACTACAGAACAGAGAAGAGTACTACGAGATCCTGGAGAATACAGGTGTGGACATTGACGGTCGCAAGGAGTGGGCGGAGGTCACTGTGAAGGTCACCAACGATGTCCTTTTTAAGGTCGTCCGCTTTGTCAAGTCTGTGCCAGGGTTTCGGGACCTGTGCAAAGATGATAAAATTGTTCTTTGTCGATGTGAGTTGGAGATGGTAGACAGATATAGTGGAATCCTGTTATAACGAGAGGGAGGGGACCGGAGCAAAATGTCCGCTATAGCAGGATTCTCGCTATAAGGGATCCAGTAATAAATTCAAGGGTAAACTGTAAAGTAGGCCTAATCTATGAGTTTGGTGTTCTGTTTATTTCCTTTTGCTATCTCCGCTGATGCTGATTTTGTTTCAACATGACCTCTAGGTCCTACTTGAGCAATAATTGAATCAGGTTTCTTTTTCAAGCACTAGATCTAGCGATGTTGACTGACAGCTGGGCATTGGTGATCAGAAAAAAAGGGCTCTGGGCTAACTCATCTGCTGTGTTTTCTCCCACACCACCACACCCTGTGGTGCATTCCGTCAGCTTGCGCACGTCACACATTCACTCCATCTATCACCTTGCTGTGACCTCTCCATCCCCGCATCGGAGAAGTGAGAGGCATGGTAGGCCTTGATAATCTAAACTAGGCTTACACGCTGGCCTATTACGCGATGCGTTCTGCTTGTCTGCGCATGCCACACCCTCCCTACTCAGTTGTTCCGGCCTTCATTGTTGACACACATGGGCTCTGCCATTCTTTGTTTGGCTAGTTCACCAACAAGTTTCTCAACTGGCAAGGTTTTACATTATGTATAATTGGCCTATGCACTGTGCACAGCAGCAGCAATATTCCGCTATAACCGACTCGCGTGTTTGTCACGGCGTCACTTTTCGCCCGATTCTGTTACTTTTAGTTCGCGTGACTCAGCAGCCCGCCGGAGCTCCCCGGCTCGGGGTCACGGGGTTAATGAGCCCTGAGGCGACTTTGCCGGTGTCGGTCGGGAAGTTCGCATTTTTGACTATGTTTAAAACGATATAACTTCTTCCCCATCCCACACAGCAAACCATTACGCGAATGTACTAAAAGCTCAATGTCTTGAGATTTATTCTGAGTTAGAATGGTTAGTTTCTGTGCCTTAGTTTTTGTTCTAGACAAGTGTTTGTAGAGTACCCAATTTGTCCTATTTTAGTTACAAAGTTATGAATAAATGATTGTTATTTTTAAAAAGGCACGACAGATCTCTCCAAATTCTGTGTTAAACTGACTACGAATATCATGTCTTTTACCATGAGAAATCTTAAATCTGCGGTAGTAGTAAAAGTCAAGTTATAAGAGAAGAAAGATGCACATCTGCATATTTTAACTAAAGACGATCAGCGTTAGCTCTTATTTTACTATTAAACAAGAGAAAGTTACTCTGCGTTTGTTCATGAATCATGCTGTGTCTGTGGCAGCCTGCATACAACTAAAAAGATATAATATAAGCGATTTAAAAAACCACAAAATCGTGTAAATACATGGGTAGAGATAAACTTCTTGTATGGAATAAAAATAACGACAGCTAAAACATTCATTCTTAGTTTTTGTGTAGGAAATATGCGCGGACACAATTATGCATGTAAAGAAATCAGTCACATTGTCAGTTATTGCAAATGGTCATAGAAACGTTAAAAAAGCTGGAAAAGTCTGGTGCTGATTCAGTGTCCCTGGAAAGCTAGAAATTATTCTTATAACCCAATTACGAGAAGTCATCCCTATTATTCAGTCAACTTACAAAACCTAGACTTAGCGTTTTAAGAAAAGTAAGCACTTTCTGGAGTGTAACAGATACTGTTCGTGTATTAGATCTACGTTGAAGATATATTCTAGCACTAAAATCGATTTGTACTTTTCATTGAGAAACTTCATGATAACTTTTATAAACTTTCGAGAAAATATGCGAATATTCATGATTATATTAGACACATAAAGTTGTATTTGGAGGAATTACTTCGTAGCGAATTGTGTGCCCGATGGATAAAATTGCAAAATTACAGCCTTCTATTATAAGCGCAGATACCATCTTTTCTGAGTATCTGCACTAATGTTATGTCGTTCATATTCCAAAAGTTCGACAGATTTTGACGATGCATTTTTTTTATATTGATTTTTTTTCATTCACGCTAGTCCCAAAAAAATTACAATTTAGCATTGCCGACTCCAGCGCGTCTAACGAAATAAACAGACAAGTTACAACGTCCGTTCTTTTTTGAGTCTCAAGAGCAGAAATGCGTGCTTTGGGTGCACTAAATGAGAATTACCATAAATACAAGGATGCACCTTAAATTGTACGTTGAAAAGTACCAAAAATTAAGTCGGCCCAGACAGAGCGGCGACAGGGAGCTGACCCCCGTGACCCCGACGTGATAAGGCGCCCGGCGGGGAACCCCCCGCGGCAACTAAAATTCCACTGCCGGTGCGCCGTGTTGTCTGATAGCGCTATAGCAGTATTTTATTTACAAAGACAAAGAAGAGCAGAAAACAGGGTTTTAGAATAGTGTCTTTATAACAGACTTCTCGTTTTTTCCGGACTCATTATAAGTGGACTCCACTGTAGTGTACCAATTTAAGTGATGGTCGTATGGGAGTTGTTGATGTGGTATGGCTTTTGACACCCCCTTTTCAACATTGTGAGATTATTTAAGCGGAGGGACCTCCGAATCAAATGCCTGTTTTTGATGGGAACAAGCCATGTGAGTGAAGTCCTGAGAAATACCCAAGCAAGCCAACCTTTACAATTCCTTAATGGACGTTAGAGCTGTCAACTGCATCTTCGTACAGCACTGAGCTAACGGCACACCTCATCTAGGATTGCGTTTTTAAGTGGGCTGTTAAGGCTAAACCAGATTGTGGGTTGCATCCCAGCTGTAAGAGAAAGGCATTTTTTCCGTAAAATCTCCTTTTAAAAGGAACAGAATTTTGTGTTTGAAGTGGAGAGCATAACCTTTATACAAGAAATTGATGTTTGTAGTAGTGTTTACCTTTTGATGAGTGATCTTGAACTTTTATTAAAAAGTTAGCCTGGGCTGTGAATGGCAAGGAACGGTGGCAACCACTGATCATGTGTTTTCTGAACTTGCATTGTTTGGCTATTGTGATTTATTTATATATTCAGTGGCATGGGGTGGTGCTGGAAAGGGGAGGCGCCAAGTCACCCATTTGCTAGGTACACTCCCAATCAAGGTACTATTAGATTGGTTTTGATTTTTGATTTCCTGTTGCATTTGTACCTGCGTGAGCCGATACCAATAAAATGACAGAACTAAAACATGCACACATATATCTTTAAGTTAGTTGGCCAAAGCCGAGATAGGTGCAGAAGTGCACTTGGATGTGCAAGTGTAATGCCTCGTTATGTTAGAGTCTAGTGTAAAAAAGAACATTCATGTACTTTTCAGTCAGAAACGAAAAGAATGACGGCATTGAATTTTAGGCATTTAGAGTAAGTAATGCATTCCTCATGTATTTGTAATGTATGCTCGTAGATTTTTGTTTGTTCAAAACTTATCAATTTTTCGTGAACTGATTACATAGGGTATTTAGCCTGTCTTGGCTATCTGTGAGCTATATGTTTGTGATAACCAATCAATGCTAGAGGCTAACTTTTCCCCATTTTTCACTAGGCTATCCTTTTCCTCTCCAAGATTTTAAAAAATCATACTATCATAAAATGCATCTTTATCTGTGGGTGATCATTTATATATGTTTCACTGAATTTCCATCCTGTTGTTATAAGAACTGAGGCTATGTACCTTCAAAAACACGACACCCGGGTCTGTTGGCTGGTCCAAGCACCCTCCGTCATTGTAACCTCGTCGTGGAGGTCAGGTTGGCCTGGAATAAAAGGGATGCTGAGAGAAACATCTGGCAGGCGAGGAGCAAACTGTTTGTTTGCCCCATCTAAAAATAGAAAAACCGGGGATTCCCTTGGGTTTAATGTTTGTTGTCAGTCTTCAGTGTAGCAGTCTCTAGTAACCTAATGTACCCTAAATGGTAGCCAGGATCTCCCTGGTGCTCGGCCTACCTTAATCTATCGTTGCTAGGTCACAGACGAGCCTCACAGCTCTGAGACTTTGCGCTGGTGAACTAGCAGGGGCTAGATACTCCTGACTGCACTGTGGTAGGTGTATTGGGGACGTATTGTCATGGTTTTCATGACACTGGAAAACGTGCAACAGTAAAAATTAAGTTATTGAGGACAGATAAGAGAGGACAGAAGAGGGGCCAAGGCGCCTTTGGCTCTCACTAGTACTGCTCCTGTATATATATATTTGTATAAGGCTTGTGTATAAAATGTAGTTGGTGTTAAAGTCTTCCATTCGTCCTGGAAAATATCATTTCATTTGCAACAATGGTGTCAAAGTTTGAAAAATGCTACATTTCAATTATTTTTTTATGTTGGGTCATTATCCTTAAAATATAGAAAAATTACCATATTTATTGTTAATTATTTTAGCAATATTTTTATCATTCTTACTAAATTAGCATCGTTACTATACTATCTCTGCTTCTGGCTTATTTTCTACTTTTCCCGCCTGCCATTTTGGAATGACATGAGGTGAGCTGGAGAGGTTAAAAGAGCAGCTGATAGCTGTTCGAGTCTGCACTAAATCATGACCTCTATTCGTCACTTAATTTCTTAGTGTTACGGTAAAGATGCATACTGTCACTGCGCTAACAAATTGGCACTACTCATATTTACTACTTTTGAGATAAATGGAAAAAAACTGTTTAACTTGACTATTTATCATCTTATAATGGTAAAACTTACCATGCATGTTTCTTTTGTGACTGCCAGCGCTTTTTTGTTTTGATTTTACCAAAAGATAGAAATAGTACCACCAAACAAAATAGGCTAGGCTAGTTGCATTTAGGCACTACTCTTATGCCATTTTGCTAGCGCAGAGTGTCAGGACAAATTTATGTTTCGTGGTAGATTTATATTTTTGATCAAAGCAGCCTACCACCTAAATGATATAAATTGTATAGAAGAGCCGAAAATTTTTTTACTTCATTTAAATGTTGTTTTTTTACATTCTCTCTGTCTTTAGCATCCATGGTTGACTGCTTTTTCCTGGGGAGTTTCCGTGGTATTGACCTTCGGAATCACATCATAATCAACGAGATGAACTTGGCTTCCAATGTTGACGAATGCTTAGGCATCATTCCAGAATATGACGCCAACGTAGCTTTCTACTCGGCCTTAACCAAACGCCTTCAAGCTATGGACCTCACTCTTGAGGAAGTTATCTTATTGAAGGCTATTTGCATAACATCACCTGGTGGGTGCTCTGTGTCATTTAATTTCTTTTCTCCTTTTTAAAAATAATTTGTTTCCAGTAACTTTCACTTCGGTGCCGATAGTTTCTTTTATTTTTCCTTTAAAAGTAACTTTTATATCTGTGTAATTTAACTTTTTTTTCTGTTTTAGTAAGTTTCACCTGTAATTTTCCTTTTTTTTTGTTCAGTAACATTCACCTGTATGTCATATACCGCATATCATTGCGTATAGGGTGTATGTGTAGGTAAAACGTAAATAGACTCAAGAGCCAAAATTTAGGTAATAAATTATATGCTCATTGAATATGATGCACCAACTTTTTCATGGCAACTACCAACACCTTTGTTAGAGGGTTTTCATAGTTTCTTATTTCTGTTCCAGTAACTTTCACCTCTGTATCATAATAATAGCTTCTTTTTGTTTTGTTACATTGCACTATAACATTGAGTTTTTGCTTAAATGGCAAATATCATGTCAATCATCTATGTGCTTCTCTTTACTCAAAAGATTGTTATCGTGTTAACATATTTTTCAATCATTATCGTGTCGGTATGCTTCTGTTTACTCAAACGAGATCAGTATCATGTCAAAATGTGCTTCTCTTTACTGAAAAAACACAAACCTTTCTGTGCCTTTCGCAGATCGAGATGGACTGAAGGAACGACGGAAGGTGGAAGCTCTGTATTGGCGGTTTCTCTGCTGTCTGTTGCTGTCTCTTCATCGTCGTCACCCAAAGCCGTACAGTGTCTACTCCCAGGTGATCACTTTGCTGGCTGACCTCAAGACTTGTGTGATTGTCCATCATCAACTCCTGGAGGTGTTCAAAGTTGATATTGTCAAACTGACCAGCGAGATTGATGCTCCGCTGTACAAGGAAATGATGCTGATTAACCATCCGGCTACTGCTAAATAGAAATATTACAACTTGAAGTTTGTTAAATGAATGTTTACTTTTCTTTTTCACTTACAGTATGGTAGTATTGACTTTAGAAAAGGACTACTTTATAGAGAGAGGTGGAGGCAGATGCTAAGAAATAGGCAAAACTTGGACGCAAATGCCAAAAAATGGGCAGTACAAATGTCTTTGGAGAGGGGCTTTACTTTTTAGAGAGGTAGGAAGAACAAGAGAGTGATGATACTATTTGTTATAGTGTGGGTTAAAGGCTCCAATAGACACAGTAAGGCTCCCATTTTACATCAAGCCGAATGATTGGGAAAACATTGCAATTCAAATAACCAGAGTGTATACAAAATCTCATTCTGGGATTTTACCAAGAGTCTTCACACGCAAGTCCAGCACTATGCAGTAGTCTCCGCGTAAGATCCTAGTGCTCGTGAGCAAGGAAAATGTGGGATCTTAGGTCAACAGGATCTTAGTCGACGAACCGAGAAGAGAATCTACAATGATCCATGTTAAGGCTCACAACAGGCAAAATGGTCTCCTTCCTCTCTGGAATGAACTGACGTGGCCCCTAGGTGGGTTTATGACATATATTGGCGAACAAAGAGGGGTCAGCCTTGATGGCCAAACACTGGCATGAGCATGCCTTTTACACTTATTATCCTATCGTGAGTCTCAAGATCTACGCTTATCCACTTGCTCCTCCCCTTTACCTGTACGAAAATTTACAGCTTTCCAACTCTGACCGAGTTCCTCCGCCGTTGTCGTTTCATTGTGTGATGTCAAGGGACATGACTCTTATCTTTACTGTGGGAACTAGATAATTAGGGGAGTGGCACGCCCTTGGATGACGTCAAGAGCCGGGCGCAAAAAATAGAGAGATCGTCTGAGAGGCTCACGGAGGTAGTCAGTCGAACTCAGGACCACGATGAGGCAACACCTATCTTGGACGGGGGCCCCCTGACAGACCCGACGCATCGGACCGCCAGGTAACTTTACATCATTGTAACCACACCAATTAAAATTCAGTCTGTCTCGCAAATTTTTGAATAGCGAAAATTGCTGCAATGGTCAGGGAAGAGTTCACAATTCGATGTGATCCTGCCTGGGGTGAACTTGTAGGCTCTACCCACCCAGCAAGTGATAAAAGTTTAGGTGTAGAGCTCAGATGCGAGTGTGATATTGGGGGAAAACGAACACGTCGGTCAGTTCATACCTCAGTGTGATTCCGTTTGGGGCAAACATTGTACCGTTTCATCGAGTTTTACAATGCTTATGTGATCACATTCACGAGAGTTGCTGATATTTGACCGACGGGCTGTTCATTGATCTCAACTTTTCACTGTTGGTTGATCAGCTGTGCCCGCCCATGTTTTTGTTCCATAAATTATTATCAGAAATGTGGGATCTTAGCTGAATGTAGACCTTCAGAGTGAACCAGACCGGGATCTTAGGGGTGACTTTTGTATAGTAAAAATTCTGTTTTATTAAACAGGGGGATCTTAGGTGGAGACTACTGTATCAACTCTTTTTTTATGTTGGCCCAAGACTAGATGGTCAAAATTTTGGACTTTTACAATTAAATTTTTCTCAAAGATTATTACCTTTTATTTGTTTTTATTGATTTTTCTTTTTCCTAAGCTCTGAGAATATATTGATAATTTACCTTGTGATGTGATATTTTCAATCTGTGATGGATGTCTTTTTTCTGCTCTTTAATTGCGGGTGAGTGCAAGTTAGCTGCAGTGTACTTACTTTGTTGAGGTTTCATTATTTTTATCTGCATCCTGTCTTTTTGGAAGGTTATGTTAGAGGTACCAACCTTAATTGTTGATAGAGAACTTTTTTCAAGTTTGAAATTGTACAAATGAAATATATCTTAATTTTTGTCTGGGATTTTTGTAGAGTTTATTTGGTTTCATTCTCAGTCAGTGTTTGCAGGACTGCCTAAGGATCTTTTTGTGACCTCTTTGGGACACCACACCTTGGAGTATTTCTAATTTCTTGGATTAAAAAGACATGTTTATATACAGTCCATGCCGGCTTTAAGCACGGTCATCGGGAGAAAGCTTAAGCGTGCTTAAAGCCGAAGCGTGCTTAAGTGTGAAGTAGACATAATCCAGAGATTTTCATGTAGAAAATTCCCCGTGCTATTTCCCTTTGTTTGTAAGTAGACCTATAGCGGTCCCGCAAAAGTGTGCACTATTATTTAGACACCCGCCATGGTAGTTTTTGTTCGCTTGTTTGTTTTTGTTTTGTGGTCGAATGGGAAATGAAAACTTAATTTAGACAGCCAGTTACGATACAGCACACTAGGCCTACTGTAACACACTGCCTGTGCGTACCACTGCCTGCTGTGCCACCCATACCACCGGCGCCATCCCACTTTGCGCATGATACACAATCAGGATTAATGGATAGCGAGGGTCAAAGGTGAAATCGCAGCCAGCCACCCTTTCTCGTCTCCCCGACCCTCTTTTTAAAATATTTTTGATCGTGTGTAGCTTTGCCCTAGGCCTAGGCTAGATCCTATGTCCGCGCGCACGGCTGTGTGCATCTCTGTGCCTTCCTCTCCGCCCGTGTGAGTGTGTGTGTCCATCGTTTGCGTTCTTTGTGTTTCTCTTGACACACTCCACTGCTGCGTTGTAAACTGTGTTTGAACTTCGATGTGTCATCATGAAAATATTGACTGTCTTGTATATGAAGCGTGCTTGAAGCCGAAGTTACCGTGCTTATAGGCGTGTAATTTATATAGCAAAAATTCTGTAAGAGCCGTTTAGCGTGCTTGAGTCCGAAACATGCTTAAGGCCGGCGTGCTTAAAGCCGACACGGACTGTACATGTACATATGCTTCTTAAAAGACATGAATATGTGTGTAGAAATTTGCCTGAAATGTTCTTTTGTTTGTTCACTTTTGCATGTTTTCATCTATATTTTGCTTGATTCTCTCTGTTTTTCCTGAAAGATACCTAAAGATATTCTCTAAAGTTCTTGTTTTTCGCTTCGCAAGATAGACTGTCCGATTTTCCTTAGAAAAATTCTGATACTCCAGTATTTTATTAAATAGTTTAAATGTTATTAACAAAACACAACCCCCAAGATGACCGACTGGCTAACAAAAATTGGGTGCCGTAAAAGTTGAAAAAAATAAACATAGGTCACAAAGGGGTTAATATGGTTTGAGAGGAGGGGGGGAGGGGAGGAAGGGAGGACACTGGGGGGAAAAGACGACTATTTCAATATAGTAAATATAATTTTTATCAAGAATTTCTGTTCTGTTTTTCTGCTAGGATGTTGTATTCCACTCAGCCTTGGTTGGCCTTGACAGTGAGGGCCGAAGCAGCCTGTGCTGTTAATAATTGTAATTTTGTCAATGAAGGCATTCAGTCTTTAACCAAGTGTGCCATAGCAGCTGGTTTCTGCATCTCGGTAGGCTACTTAAAAAGCTCTGTACTTTGTTTGTAACATGACTATAGCGGCACCGGCTTCTGACTTTACCGGAATCCCCTCCTTTTTTTTTGTCTTTGTAAACTCAATCCCCCCCTGCCCACCAGGGCAGTGCTACTGACTGAAGTTGTCTTTAGGCCGTTCCCAAAGGGGCGATATTAACATGTTCTTATGCACAGTAGAATTGTAAATGGGCTGATTTATCAATGTCATGCTCATATTGTGCTGGAACAACATAGGGGGAACTGCTGCTTTTTCGTTCCTCACTTACTATCATCATTTTCCCTCTACTTCTTTTGTATGTTTATCACTCTCTTGTGATCTGCTATTTCCGGGATGCCTTGGTAGTCGAAGCAGATTTTGTGCTGTTGAGGCTAGAGAGGTGAGCAGAGTAAGCCTGATTCCCCGTTTGGACTCCTCTGTGGACATCCACCCCTTGGCGCTCATATGACCTTATGCTGTTGCGAGTACAGTAAAACCTTACTAAAACTAACTAAAACTAAACGGGTATAACTGGGCAAGGAAAGTCCCAAACCTGGATACAGCGGGAGAGATTGAGTAAGCTCTAGCTGGGGGGGGGGAGATTTTTTTTTTGGGGGGGGGGGGGTGTAGACGAGCTCCAAACAGGCAGTTAGCAGTGCGAAGTTGTGAGTGGCCAGTCCAGTGATGAGTGAGGTGGGGCAGGTGGCAGAGAGAGATAGTACGGAGAGACGTGTTATGTGAACCACTCCAAAAGTGATGTGCCATGGCGTTGCCTAGGAACTATTTTGTCCAAAGTGCCTCGTCAGACTACTTAAGTACACTTTAGACAAAAAAGTCTGAGGCTACGATAGGCCTAGGCTAGACCAAAAAGTAAAAAAAGATGAGAGCTTTGAATTACGATCATTGATGCTCAGGCATACGCACACATCCACTTCACCAGTTTTACAGTAGTAGGCACACATCCACTTCACCAGTGTTACAGTAGTAGGCACACATCCACTTCACCAGTGTTACAGTAGTAGGCACACATCCACTTCACCAGTTTTACAGTAGTAGGCACACATCCACTTCACCAGTTTTACAGTAGTAGGCACACATCCACTTCACCAGTGTTACAGTAGTAGGCACACATCCACTTCACCAGTGTTACAGTAGTAGGCCTACCAGTACGATAGACAGCTCAAGCAAAAAGACCAGGTAAAGACGGCTTCCAACAAAGACGAAAGGAAATGCTTCTCACTCGAATTAAAGGCCGAGATAATTAACAAAGTTGACAAGAAAAGGAAGACGAATTTTATTTTATTTATATAGAAGGGAATTTTTGTTCTAAGACCAAAAGTCCCGGTATAGCTATGTTTTACTGTACTTGTATCTACTCACGACTTTTCAGATATCTTTTTTATCTTTCATATGCCTGGTTCAACAAACTCTGTAGGAATATCTATACTTTGATTGTTATTTTTTAAAGAAATATGATGTCATATAGCTCATAACCTAATTCTTTATATAAAAATCTCTTTTTGAAATATAATCTTTAAATGCAATCGCTAACATTCCACCTCGTGTGTTTGTGTGTATGTGTGTGTGTGTGTGTGCGCCAGGATCTGGACAATTAAGATTTGTCTTATCTTATCTATAAAGAACCAGCAAACTCAAATCTAAAAAAACGTAACTCTGACATGAATATATAGAAAAAAGGCTATGAAAATTGCTGTAGCAACAGCAGCTACAATAACAGCATTGTGAACCATTGTGCGGACACATATATACACAAACACACACATTCTTACATAATAATAATAATAGATAACATTTGCATAGAGCATACACCTGTTCAACAGCAAGCTCTTTGCACTTCACTATCTATACTATTACTCAGCAGACCTGAGAGCATTTTGAAACAACCTCAACTTCCTGGGAATCATACAGTGCAAGCAGCCATTTATAGGTGCTAAAACCTTAACATACTGACAAAGTCTTCCGCTGTCTATAATAATATATATGCACATGCACACACACGCACACATAATACATAATGAATATAAATATGAGCTTTATATCATGTATTGTTTATGTGTGCCACAACGCTCAGTTTTGGGGTCAATTTTTCAGCAAATCAAGTTATTTGTATAATGTTACAGCTTTTTCAGTTTTCTTGCTTTTGGTTTATTTATTTTTTATACCATCTTTAATAGAAGTGGAGATATTTGCAATACAGGGAGGTGGGGGTTTCCCGGTAACAGAGGTAAAATTAGCAAGAAAGTGACCTCCACTTTTGGATGACTTCCAAAGCTTGAAAGTAATGAGAGTCTTTGGTAACGGAAAATTTACATTTTTTGTGCCTTCAATGTCCGTTTTTCCAGTAAAATGCACCCAGAAATGTATTTTTAAATGGGCTTAAAACTAAAAGGTGTTGATCAAAACAACAGAAATTCGATGAAAATTGCTAAATGAGGGGAAAAATGGTGGTGTCCTCCATGTCATTGTTTTGACGAGCGCCTGATTTCACCATGTTGTTTCGCATATGTGTGTATGACCATATTTTGTTCACTTTCGTCTGATTGCGGTTAAAACAAGATAAAATGAA